TAACCTTTAACTCAACTCTAACAAAGCTGGAAAGGCAGTCTATCCTTATCAATGAATATCACAGATCAAAAACAGAAATGAAGAAGAAAATTTACCCACAGCTTATTATAGATGAATTTTTTAAAAATTGATGCATAATTTACATACCACAAAATTCACCATGTAAAGTGTACAATTCAGCAGTTTTTAGTACATTTGCAAGGTTGTGCAACCATCACCACTAATTCCAGAATACTGTCATCACCTTAAGAAATCCTGTACCCATTAGCAGTCACTCCCTATTCTGTCCTCCCCACAGCCCCTGGCAACCACTAATCTACTTTCTGTCTCAATGGATTTGCCTCTCTGGACATTTCATATAAATAGAATCACATAATGTGTGTTGTTCTGTGTCTGGCTTCTTTCATATAGCATAATGTTTTCAAGATTCGTCTGTGTCATAACATGTATCACCAATTCATTAATTTTATGGTATGGAAATTTGTTTACCCACGAATGACATTTTTAAAATATATTTTTCCTACATATGTTAATTAGCTCTCAGGATTACTCAAGATTCAATTCAAGACACACTATATTCATTCACTGACCTCTTGGCTCACAAGATTATCAGTATATTTCATCTTCTGTCAATTTATAAATCATTTCAAACGTTATAATTTTGGTTGTACTGTGTTTCAGTGCCTTGGTAAATACTTACTGGGCTTTCCACCTAGTACCCTTTTTTCTAGAAATTAGCCCTTCCCTCCAACTTCTGTATGGTTAATATGACTAATTGCTCCTGTCTACCAGGTGACCAGGAATGAGAACCTGATTCAAGCTGGACAATTCAGACCCTTCACTGGGAATGTGGAATTGGGAGCAGGTAGGATTCTATTTCTAATTAGTTGCTCCCTTGTTTGCAGGAGCAATAGTCTCAGAAGCTTTTGGCTATTACCATTATTTGCCATGTAGATTAAGAAACCAAGAAAATTAGTGTGCAAGATGGGAAGAAAGAATCAGACACAATTAAAGTGAGAACAGCAGAGATAAGAGTGCAGCAAGAATCCCTGGGTTCCCTGAAGGGCTCTGGGTGCATCCTTGTCCTTGGATTCCATAGGACATCTTACAAACTTATAAAAAAGTCCCCTTATGGTTCAAGTTGGTTAAGGAGGTTTCTGTAATCTCCAGCCAAGAGCCCTAATATAATCATCTACCCAACAAGACTTTAAGCTCTCTATTAGTAAGGGCTCAACCTCCATGGCATACATTACAGCAACTCAAGCACACACTTATTTTTTTTTTTTTAAATTTTTTTTTTCAACGTTTTATTTATT